CCTAAATACTGTTACAATATACTTTAATTAAAATACAATATACTGTAAATAAAAACTGTCTGGAAACAACATAAACTGGACCCAAGCATTGGAAGCACACGTTACAATTTCTTGAAACAGCTATTTTGGCTGATGGTTCATTTCTAGGTATAATTCAAAAGCTTTAAATCTCTTTATGGCTTAGGATCAAGGTCTATGAAGGACAAATTGGTAGCACTCCAGATTGTGTATTCCCTGTAGACGATGTTGGAAGCTGCTCTCCAGATGTTTTTACCAGATGGACATGATGCATGACAACTGGAGAGAGATTCTCATCAGAATTGGCAGCCAGGGAATCCTAAGTGATGCTTACTGGTTTTTCCTTCCCTCTTTGTTTCTCTATCTGTTTATCGTTTGCCCACTCTCAATAAAACTTTGAAAACGTGTCTTAGATGTGTTAGATTCTAACCTTTTAAAGTTGCAACTTCCATTAAATTTGGTAGGGCTTGGTTCAGAATGGACATGCATATAGACAAGATAGCTGTGTTGGTTTGCTATCATTATCATTGTTGGCACCTTCCGTGCCATTATCTCTGTCTTCTTCCCTTCTGCAAAATATTTGGAGATGGGAAATATTAGTTACCATTATGCTGTTGCTGGTATTGTCACTGCTGTAGATTTTGAGGATGAGATAGGATTCTATAACCTGACTGTAAAAGTAAAAAGAAAAAAAATATGTGGCAAGTGAAGGGCACTAGTTAATAGGAGCAATCCATCAGAAGCAGAGAGAAAAACCTTTTTTTTTAGAAAACATTTTCCATCTGTTGTTAAAAGCAGTGCTTGGAAAAGTGTCTAAAACACACCTGGGAAAAGTTTGTTTTTCCTGGTGACTGCAGAGTTCGGACAACCTAGGTCCAAAACACACTGCAGAAATAATCCAGTTTGAGACTATTTTAATTGTCCTGGCTCAATGCTAGGAAATTCTAGGAATGGTAGTTTTGTGAGACATTTAGCCTTCTCTGTCTGAGAGCTCTGGTACCACAATAAACTACAATTCTCAGGATTCCCTAGCACTGAACCAGGGCAGTTAAATCAGTCTCAAACTGTACTATTTCTGCATTGTGTTTTGGACCTTAGTTTCAAACCAGAGAAATACTGTCTCATGTGTTTTTATTGGGATAACATGCTATGAGCAATTGTGGTTGATGCTTATTGCATCCTGTTTAATGATATCACTAGCAGTTGTCCTCAATCTTAGTTGTTGGCCCTGAGGTCACATGCCCTGGGATGCTCTCGGCTTGTCAACCCTAATCAAAGCCATTGCTTTGGCACAACAGTTCTCAGCCTTTTATCCTCCAGCTGTTTGGGACAGAGGTTCCCATAAACACTAGCCAGCAGGGCGCATGGTGAGGGGCTCTGGGAGGTGAAGTTCAAAATATTTGGAAAGCCAAAGGTTGAAGACACTTGCTGCCTCCCTTCCCAGGTCCCATTTGTTTATCTACTGTATACCCACAATTTTAAGGGCCAGAATCTCTAGCGCTGAGGGATCGTCTCCTCTGTTGGAAGTTCCTGGAAAAATATGTGGCAGTGGCTGGTGGTGGCAGCAATGGTAGCTAAAGCTTGCCATTTTAACTTTCTGCAGTGCTTCAGAGTAATGCTATATTCAAATGGCAGGTATGCTAAGTTCCCTGGTGTTGTTCAGAGCCCTGGAACATAAAACAAATAAAAGGTTAGCCAGCAAAGCAAAGCAGCCTCATTTATATACCGCTTCATATCGCGCTATGGGATGTCTAAGCGGTTTACAACTGTAAGCTCATTGCCTCCCAACAGTTGGGTACTCATTTTAGCGGCCCTGGAAGGATGCAGGCTTCAGTCAAGCCTGAGCCTTGGCTAGTATTGAACTCACAACCTTGTGGTCTATGAGTGAGTGGCTGCAGTACAGGCATTTAACCACTGTGCCACCAGGGTTCCTGGCACAAGCAACAGGCACTGCCAAAGTGATGGCTCCCAACAGCAGATGCTGATGGCAGCCCTGAAACTTTCTTGGAGCACAGAAAAGTACGTTTTTGGATTGCAAATCCTAGATTCTCTCCACTAGCATGATGAGCATGAGAAGATATAAATGTATTCCAGTGGTTGCAAAGAAACTAATTTATCTGCATATGTGGTTCTCTGCAAAAATGATTAAAAAGTGATACAAATCACACATCCCAGCAACAGGCAATATATTTAGTTTGCAGCAAAATACAAAATGTGGATTTGAGTGACTTTCCTGCATTAAGTGTAGACCATACTATATATGGTTGGACATATGTGACACAACAGTAGATTAGTGAGTGTTTTGTGCTCTGTAAGGCAGGTTCATCATGGCTACACATTCACACACACACAAGTTAAACTCATTGCCTGGCTTAGAAAAATATATAAGCTAAATCAGTGATCAGAGATGTAATGTGTAGGGTAAATTGTTGCTCAATACTTTAAAAAATCTTGTTAATATTGCTTATTATCCCAGTTTTGGTTGGATGGTACTGCATTACAATGTTACTTTTTAGTTACTTTTTTGTCCATTTAATTTTAAAAAAATGATAAAGTGATTCCCCAGTTCATCCAAATAATCTGAAAATGCCCCCAGTAATGTTAAAGAGCAGTGGTTCTTAACCTGGGTTCGATCGAACACCAGGGGTTCAGTGAGTCAGTCTCGTGGGTTCGGCGGAAGTCAAGACACACATCCGATTCATATGATTCGTGATGACACGCCCCACTCGTCCATCATTGGCTGCAGGTGATAACCTGTATACGTTTTATATTTATATGCCCCATCCAACCAAACCAGCTTGCCCCGCCTCCACCGACAGAAGTGGCCCTCTGATTGGCTGTGTGGCGTGATTGACAATGCGGCGGCCCACTCCCCTCACCGGATGGCGCTGACGGTCCGACTGTATTGGCGGTAGAAGGGTTCAGTGAATGCTTAAGAATCGTAAGAAGGGTTCAGTGAATGCGCATATGAAACTGATGGGGGTCAGTACCTCCAACAAGGTTAAGAACCACTGTTACAGAGGGAGAAAACCACTGGTGCACACTTTCTATTTTATGGTGTTGCTGGCAGGATCATGGAAAGCCTTGGCCACTTGAATAAGTCTACCAATGGTCCCAGTTTTACTCTTCCACATTCAAATTTACATCTTATTCATTAAGACATTTCAGAATTTTGGTATGCCCTCATTTTTAAAAATGAACTAAATGGAATTTTTTACTCATCCTTAGATGGAAGGTTTTACATTACTACCTCTTATTTAAGTTATTTCATCCAATACATTGTTCAATATTTTTAAAGCTCTTTAAAGTCAAAGCCTGAACAACCTTCCTAAATTGCCCTATTTCACACATTGAATAGATAGCCCTTTGTGGAGGGAATTAGAAGTTGTTGTTGGCAGCAGAAGCAACAGCAATGGCTGAAATCCTTTAGGTGATATAGCCACATGTTACTCAGATGTATGTGTACATACTTTTTTTTTGATGTTCCTCAAGAAGCTATTGAGTAGGTCTTTGCACAGTGTTTATCCCTCCCCAAGGTAAATTACTTTGTGATCAGAAACGAGGAACATGGGGCTCTTCAGATGTTGCTGCAACTTCCACTAGCCTTCACTATTAGTGATGCTGGCAACAGCAGATAAGAACGGCAATCCAACATTTACAGGGTATCACATTCGCTAACCCTGCTCTAGAGCGTGTGTGTTAAATACTCCAATGACACAGCACTAGATTTCCTCTTTATTGGAGAGAACCACATTATTGTTGTTGTTGTGTGCCTGCAAGGTGTTTCTGACTTATGGTGACCCTAAAGCAAACCCATCACACGGTTTTCTTTGCAAGATTTGTTCAGAGAAAGTTTGCCTTTGCCTTCCTCTGCACTGAGAGAGTATGTCTTGGCAAAGATTACCCAGTGGATTTCCATGATGGAGCAGAGATTAGAACCCTAGTCTCCAGAGTTGTAGTTTAGTGCTCAAACCACTACACCACACTGGCTCTCTGAGAACCACACAGATATTAAAAAGGAAGCCTATATCAAATTGTTAATCCCTATTAAAGTAGAGTGATCCTCCCTTCTGCAGCCCCGAAAAGAGCAGCAAAATAGCACTCCTTTCAGGGGTGGCAAAAGGGTAACCTAAGAGCCGGCACGCAGCTCTTCCTCACCCCTTCTGGTGCAGCGTGTCAGGACGGCGTCGGCGTGGGGTTGGAGCAGCCGGCATACGGCCACCCTGCTCCATCTCTGCCTCCAGTCTGGCCCTTTGGCCGGTCTGCAGAGGCCCACATAAATGTTGATTTATCAAGTTGCCATTGATTCAGTGACCTATTTTAGTGAGGACTAGCAATTGGATTTAGGTCAATGATATTAAATTTTATAAGTTTAAGATTATTTCACCCTCTCCCTACTATCCAGAGGATAAAAAATGAAATAAAGTTCAGCAGATATATCATAATATCTTTGAAATCCCATTGGGAGGTGTGAGTGTTAGGTGGAAGTGCTTAGTCAGCCTGGTTGATATCATCAGTAATCATTGCAAATTTCCATCTAGGCCTAAATCAAAATGTCTTTTTAAAAATGTGTTTAAATCCTTGCATGCTCTAGAACCTGGATGGCTGTCCATACTTGGATGGTAATCTTTCCACATAGGAGTTACTTCACTGGGTGGCATTTAGTCATCAGGCCTTACTGTTAGCATCATCTTTATACAAGTTTGGACAGTGATGTTTGAAAACCATTTGCTTTAAAAGAAAGAAAAGTACCCTATATTTATGGAATCTCTTTTTTTAAATAGGCATGGAAAAATGCCTCTCTGTGCCCCCAGGTTTTTCATTAGCAGGATAGTTTTCATTATTTTCTATGGCTGTTTTTATATTGTTCCTATGGCAAACCTCCTCCATGGGCTTGCCTTAGGGTTACCATAAGTCGGAAATGATTTGAAGGCACATCCTGTCTCCGATGTTATTTAATATTTATATGAAGCCGCTGGGAGA